GTTCTGGATTTGGGAACAGATAGGAAGAGGAGGACTTTGAGACTTTAACTTGTTTAGTACTTCATTGTACAGTGAAATTCTCTATTGCTTCCTGTGAAGTTACAAATGTTTGACATTTTCTTAGGAACACATCTAGCTTATCTCAATTTCCAAATAAATTTTGGTTATAGCTTTTTGGAATATTTTATGATCATCATTTTTTAATCTACATGGGTTTAAAATATTTCCTCTCTTCTTATTAACTTTGTATATTAGCATTTCTTCCCTATTGTTTTTTGTTTTTCCTTCATTATGCTTGCCAGAAGTGAGCCTAACTTATGAACCTTTGCAAAGAATGAGGTTTTGCTTTTAGTAATATTTTCTTTTGTTCTTCCAGTTTACTTATATCAATCTTTGATTTTTCTTCTTTATATTGTTACTCAGGGTTTGCTCCATTATATTTTTTGTTTGTTTGTTTATTTTGATTCAAAAACTTAGGTCATTTTTTAAAATCCTTATCCTATCTTTCACTATCCAAACACACACACACACAGACACACACACACACACACACACACACACACACACACCAGATCAAGCCAACCTGCAATTTATCTGTAGATTTCTCATTTTTCCTGTTATTTATAAATGTTATTTAGTTATAATAGGATCTGTGATCCTGTTGTTTTTCTAGGGATGATATGAAGGGACAAAATGAGCAGTCTAGATTGATTACTAACTTGGCAGCATCTAGAAACTAAAAATGATTTTGAATATTCACATATACTCTTAGAGTTTAGTATTCTCCCCAGGAGATTTCTTCCTTATTAATAGAATCATCCACTATATGAATGGTAGAATCATTTATCTTATTTTCTACAGAAAAAAAAAAACCAAAATTAAAAAATTTTGATTTGTATAATAAAAAGCAAAATATTTCTACTTAAAATTTCATGTTGTCAAAGGAGTACAGGGGATATGTGTATTCAATGAAGAATTTCATAAGCCCTTGAACCTTTAAGTGTAAACATTGAGCAAAAATCATGGGCTACAGTGATCAATTTTCTTGAGTGACTTTAACCCTCTGTAAAGAGGTGGCTGTGAGAGTGTGGCACTTAGCAACACTAACCAGAGTCAGAATTATAAAGGCAATTTAATGAGAAAAGGAAAAAAATGGAAAAAAAGTCTTTGTAAATAGGGAAGGGTGGAGGGGGTGAAGGGAGGGCAGGGGAATGGGGAAAAAATAAGAACCAAGAT